GTTCGACGCCTCGCCCCCTCCGTCCAATGCGTCGCCGGGCCAGCATGCGCCGCTCCCAGAGTCCGGCCCCCAGCGTGCCCCTGGGCCAGATCTCGGGCGTGGCGTCGCTGGCGACGACGCGAGGCCCGCCCGTTATCGCCTCGGGCGGGCCCTGCGCGTCCTCCGTCGGCCCAGTTCCCCATGGCGTGGCTCTTCTAATGGCATCTGGGGCGACGGACGGTGCCGGCGTGGCGGGGGCTGCTGGGGCGAAGTATCCAGCAGCCCCACAACATGTTATTTGAGCGTTCGTTTGCGCATGTTGTTTCGCCGATCGCCCCGCTCTCGCCTCCATTTCTCTTGGCGAAATGGACGATTTTGGCAAGTGGGGCCGCCGTCATGGCTGTTCTGGGGGAAGCATCTGGCGTTGTTTTCACGACGACGTGAGCTGATGGGCCGGATCATCTAGTTCGCTTTCCCACGCTCTGTTCGCGGAGACCCCGTGGTCCCGGACGGGTGGCGCGCAAACGAAGAGGCATGAAAATGTACGCCTACACAGGCACCCGGCAAGTGCTTTCCAGGATTACCGTACAGCTACTGCCGATTTCCGATGCCACGAACCAGGGATCAAAGTTTTGAATTCTTTGATTCGCCTGCTGCCAAGGGCGTGCTGACGCGGCAAAGTTTGTGCACTCAAACAAAACGTCGTCCATATCCATGCACAGTGGTTTAACTGAGCAGCACTTTATCGCATGACGTCACTCGTCGGCTGAGGCGGGCGAAATCGGCTCCGGTAGCCCTCTACCGGGCAATATCCGAACCATTGGGTGAAGGGTTGCGTGGAAGTAGGGGAGTGTCCCAACCCGTGGATCTCACACGCACTGAACTTCATGAACACTGGACGCTGCGAGCCTGGATTTTGTGATTCTCTTCTGTTCAGGGGTCTTGGACGATTTCTGGACATTATGAATGCCGGATGCTGCGATATGAACTTTTTGACCACTGGACCTTATCAACTCTGGACGTTTCAGTAAGCGTCCCAGACACCTTTAGAGCATTGCAACTAGTCACGGACTTCACGCCTTGCAAATGCTGATATAAAACGGAGTTTTTTTTCTCCCAGAAGGGAATAGCAATTCTAGAGTTCTACTTGCCAACTGAGATCTGCGCCCAGACATTTTGTTTACATAGGTTATGCTGCTTGTTTTCACACCGGCATCAGACGGGAATCCCCCGAGCCGTGTTCTGGAACGTCGCAGCAGCTGCATATACACAGTCGAGTCCCTGGGGCCAGAGCTGGGGCACTTCGATCGCAACGCTCTCAATGTTCAAATAAACAAGCAGTGCAGGCATGGTTGTCGGACTAGTGCACGACGAGATGGAAGGCTCAGTGCCGGCGGTTCGCGACCGGCTGGCTGAATTTAGCGGATGTGAAGGCAGTGACGTCACGGGCGGGTGTCAGCGCAGCTTAGACCATGCTTGCGACCACTTCCAGCTTGGAACCTGGCGAAGTACAATACTTATTTGGCTGCGATTGTCGCGGATTGCCGATGGTTGGCGCGTATGTCACGTCCACAGGCAACCTCGGTCGCGTCATGGCCTGCAGTGGGGCGGACACATCGTTCTCGCGCGGCCGACGCGCAATAGAAGTGCGCGAGCCGGCCGTGCAAACCACGCTGCAGCTGAGCAGGCCGCCCCTGTTCCAGCCGACGTCATCCGTCACATGTCGCTGGACCTGTGACGACATCCGTCACATGTCGCCGAGTCGCCACCCGAGCCGGATCCGTCCGAGGTCGGCAGCGCGGCGCCGCCCACCACCCCCTGTAGCGCGCCCAGGAGCCTCGTCGGAGAAGGCGACCGGTGCCAGCGCCGCCTCGACAGGTGGAAATGATTGTTCTGACCTGCGCCGGGCTACGTTCAGGCTCATCTGGAGTCCTCGCATCGCGTTTGCTGCTTATTGACCCAGCGTTGGCAGTGTTTGGTTTGACCCTGGCGGTTGTTTTGAGCCTTTGGAACGCGTTATCGTTCCGGGCGCTGCGCTGTACGGACCATTGCTGGCACGCGGTACACAGATGGAAAAACCGTTTACAGTGCGGGAAAGCCCTGGGACAACCCCTCGGAGCCCCGTCCCATGACCGCCACGCGTTACAAGTATCGAGGCATGTCGTGGCAAGGCTTTGTGACGTCAGGTTATGCAGTATATTCACACTCCCAAAACATTCAAGACAAAAATAAACTTTCCCACAATCATGCTGTCCAGACAAACTATGTTACAGGATCCAGAAAGTGACTAGCACATTGGGTGCACCACGCCGACGTAGCGGTTCTGGCCCTGCCAAAGCACCAACGTCGCGCAACAAAACATAAAATTTATTTACATCACGTGGTTCCAGGACATGATAACGAGGATTTCAAATCGCGGTCTCTGTATCCCCGCACATTTTTCTCGTCCAAAATCTCTAAGGCAAAGCTGGCTCCCTTATTATGACAATCATGGCCAGCGCAGGGGCAACCAGAAGCGTCCGTAGAAAATGTGATGCCTGCGCTTGCAATATCTTGCCGAGCCAGTACCCCAACACGACGTTGGCGACAAGTTCGGAAGTTCAAAATCTGGGTCACACTAGTATCTAACAACATTTTTGCAAATATGTTGCTACCGCGCACTGGTGACGCCATCGCGTGGCCAATAGGAGCGCGGCCACATGGAACCAATCGCAGGCTTTGCAGCGTGCGCCAGGCTCCCCGGTTGTGGTTGCAGCCATCGACGGTTTCTTCATCTTCATGGATTGCACCCAGCAGCAAGGAGATAGCAGTTGCTCATAATACTCATAAATATCGCCAAAACAGTACATCTACTGGATGTTGTGATCACCGCGGCGTAACGCACTGATGCCTCCTCCAGGGTTCCGCGATGCGCCCGCGATTCTCGTGTTTTTTTCGGAGAAGGCCCCCCTCTGCTGCGACCTCAGGGAGCATCGGCGGCAGCTTCTCCCATCTACGCACACCTCGTCGAGGACAGGAGCTTCCCCTTCCCTTCCCTTTCCCGGATGATCCCCTTCCCCGGAGATCATCACCCCTTCCCGAGACAACGATCACCTCAGCCCCACTCAGCGCCACTTCTACAGACCATACAAAAACAAAAAACACGTCAAAACTGAATGTGCTTTCAGCATGCTGAAAAACAAACTGCAACAACTAAAACATGTAGAGTGAAAAACATGGGCAATGCGGCTGAGGTTATCATTGTCATTGATCATTGCCACCATGCATCATATCATTGCACTGTGCATCATGAGCATGGGGCAGGGGATGCCTTGGTGCCTGCAGAGCCCCATGAGGCAGATCCTATGGAGCTGGTCGACGTTGCGTGCGCTTTGTTACATTCTCTAGCATACAGAACCCTGCAAGTGCAGTGCATTGGATTCATCACAAAGCGGACAGCACATGGCTGACCACCTCATGGCAAAGATGATGCATGCAGCTTGCTCCAGTTAAATGTTGTAATGCGAAGATTGGGAACAATAAAAGCAGATCAGAAATAACAGTCCATTCATTACATTCAAGTCAGCACAAACACACTTTGGGAAACAGACATTAAGGAGCAGCAGGAGGTGTCTTTGGAAGGAACATAGACTGAAAAGCTTGGAGACTATCCACATCTAGAAACACAACAATTTGTGTACACCCAGTTACTGGGACTACTTTGGGCAACATACAGTATGGCAATTCCATTGTTTGATTGCCTGGTGCATGTCAAATCTCATCCACAGGTTTTCACATTTGACACATAACATTTTAAGAATTAAATGTTCACTGCCT